ATCGGTTTACCATTTTGAATTAAATAATATAGATATATAAAATATCTAGCCACAGCTCCGCTATATCTAACATATTTAAAATAGGATAAATTTAATCAAAATTTTGAATAAATATTTGTTAATTAACAAAATAAGTCATGAGACTGATTTAGCACAAAAGGCCCTAACCGTTAATGAAAATCAGAATAAGTGAAAATAAGAATAAAATAAATCACAAGATAAAGACTGAAAAATTAATAAATTTGAAATAATGTTAGTGGGCCAATTCAGATGGAATGTAATAGATTGAATCAACAAATGACATTAACAACTAATATATAACCTACTTGAATTATTCCAATTTTGCCTTTTAATCGTCTAATTTGGCACCATTTTATATTAACAAACAATAAGAAGACTTTGAAGGGAATATAAAAATTTAAGAATTATTTTGGCACATACTAATTCACAGACCGGAAAACTTATTCTTTTGGATATGAAGACAAATCGTTGAATATATATTCTGTAGAGAAAAAGTTTTGAGTTAGTAAAACGACTTATATAACTTTAAAACATTTTTTTGCTCATTCTGAATTATATACCGGAGTAGTCTACATAGTACATAATTCCATATGACTTTAGATATTTACAAAATAAAATTATTGAGTTAATAAATTGAATAAATCATTAAAACAACAAGAGAAACTTTGATACGCAGTAAGAAATACTTATACTTTTTGATCTGGCAAAAAATTCGTTTAATGATTAGATTTATTTAAATTCATTATAGAATAAATAAATAAATATATTAATAATTGAATGAATGAAAAATACTGTAGAAACCTAAAAATAACATTGTGGTATATTCTGATTCGCGGAATGAAAGACATATTCTGTATGAAATGAATAAATTAATAAACAAATAAAAATAAAAATTAGTTTGGCACATTCAGATAAATAGACTGAAGGACATATATATATTTGGATCTGAAAATACATCCTGAAAATTATTTGAAAAGAAAAAATATATAGGCTATATTAGCATGAAATGAATTAGTAAAACTACTATATTATTTAAACCTGTTTTGGCATATTCTTATTAGCTGAATGGAAGACTTACATAGAACGAACTGAATCGATTTCCATTGTATACGTCCCAGATCGAGTACATCAATAAATCAATAAATGAAATAAGTCATATTTAGTTCGCCTTAAAAGTACTTCGGCACATTTTGACCGTTAGACCGGGAATTTGGTATAAATGAATACACATTGTACAAAATATGTCGGAAATATAATAATTCTGTCGTATATGAAAGAAATGTGAATATTGTTAAATCGTACCTTAGTCTTAAAAACGGAAACCTTTTAGCTAAGCTAATCACTAATAGTGTTCACAACTCACTGTCGAAATTGGAGCCTTCAAATTAATGTGTGTCCAGAGTTATCCGTGTTAAATGGCGACTCGTTTTTTATTGAGACTCTGTCAGATATAGGAAAGACATATAGACATAGAAAGAGTAATTCCTAGTTTGAGGTATTTTTTTTAAGGAATTTTGCGATTTTCATACATTTCTAGTACTTGTGGAGACTATTTACATATATTCAAGACCGAAATCAACCCGCAAAATGGCGAATCTGTCCCTTAAAATCAATATTTATATTTCATAAATTTATTGTTTAAATAATCCCGACACTTTCCACTCAGTTTGGCACGTTAATATTTCAGCAGGTGATGAAAAGTTTCAAATACTGTTTGGTAATACATATAAGAACACGAAAAATACTATTACTACAAAAGTATGCAGGATTCGCATTATGGAATAACAAAATTGTTAAAATGATTTATCTCTATCCATATATGAAATTATTTTGTTGTTGGAAGTAGTTTCCTTTGCTGTCTCCGAGTGTTCAAAAGGCCCAAGGTCTCGTTGCCACGCTCGGAGCTGTTCACAGTTCTATTTTTCTTGCCTGTGTTCATTTCGACATAAAACATAAAACTGCTCTTATAAGCTATTTTCCCCCTTTCATATTTTGTTTTGATTTCTTTTGGAAAATAAGTTGAAAATTCTTTGTTAAGATCTCAAATTATCTTTTCACTATTTAACATTGTAGCTGGTTTCACAAATTTCTTTCTCTTGTCTGATGAATATCTAAATGAACTATATCAGCGAACAATTTTCCATATGATGTACACACGACAATCCTGCTTGAAGGAAATCCGCAGGAAGTATACGTTCTCCTCTCAAAATGTCGATTGACCTACTTTCACAAACAAGTTCTAACTCTTTTGATTATGAACAGTATAAAATCTCTGGCCATCTTGTAGAATTTGAAGACATTTTCACTTTATCAAAAAAAATGAATCCACATTTTTGTAGAGTTAATAGTTTTCAAGGAACGCAAATTCATACCGAAGTTTACAATATATATACAACGAGCTTTCAGAAAAGCATCCCAGCCGTTAAGGAACTTGTTTTATCAAGAGCAGCAGATGAATAATCTTGGCGAGGGTCAGTCAGCACCCCAGTGTAGGGCCCGTGTAGCGAGGGTGGGGTATTGTTGTTGATGGGGGTGCCTGGTTTTGTTGATGAAGGAATATTTGAACCCCATTTTGAGTTTTCAGAATGACTTTTTCCTGAAATGACAAAAATAATACACGTATGATAAATAATTAGCTGAACGCTCTACAATTAACATACTGGTGTCGTTAGTCGGTACTTCAATCGGTTTAATTTTCTCAATTTTATTCAAATTGTACATGTACTCATTTTTTACATCAGCATGTCTGTCAAACATCCTGGTACAATTTACTTTTTAGTCAAGAACATACGGAACTGTGTTGAAACGTTCTGGCTATAATTGCAAAAATTGATAATATGTGAAATTTAGTAAAATGGATGCAAATTCAGGAATTAGATTTTATATGAACTTTGATTAATAATTTGCCAATTTTCTCTCTAGTCGGACGTGGTTGGCAGTATTTGCCACATTTGACGTGGTATTATTTTGCACATGCTAATCCATTATGCCGATTTTTATCGTTAGAACTTTCTGTTAATTTTTACTGCATTGACAATGTATTGTGTCGAAACGTTTAGACAATACCTTTATTTACTAAATTCGATATTTTTCTGAATGATGTTAATACTACTCAAATCAAGTCGAAACCTAGATTGAAATAAACATGTTTTCATGTCCATAGTTTAAAATATTAACTTTATTTTTTTGGTTCAGTAAGGTTAAGACTTGTAAAATTGTTTATATATAGATCATAGTCATTTTAATCAAATTACGTTCAATTCCTCTAACACCAATTAAAAACCAACAAATATGATTTTAATATGTTTTTGATTGTCTGCTTGTCATTTTGAAGGATTTTTTGAAAATTGAGCGAATTTCTAAAGGGATTTGTGTGTATATAAGCGATTTTTGATGGTTCTCTAACTTCTTTTACGGTTGACAAGTGGACACGCATGTGTTTTGCAAGTACATTTCTGACTTATTACATCTCAAAAGATCATTCTAACAGACAAATTGTACGTTTAAAGAAACTCTTAATGGCTAGTCCCAGTCCCTATTGACATTGAAAAACAATTTCAACGAGATAATTTTAATCTTTTATTTTTAAAATTTGATTGAGGAGACGAAGTCATATAATGACACCAACAAATATTTACTGATTTTATTGCCATTTTAGTAAAATTGACCATTTTCACTTTCTGAGATTTGCCGCAAAAATAACGCAACAAAAGGGATTTTATATGAATGCAAGAGAAGAGCAAATGATATAGCCTACAGTATGTATAATAATTGTTACATGGTGACCTATTTGGCTTCGTGTTTTAAATATTTCAAGACGATTGAAGTCATAGTTTTAACAGAAAACTGTCATTGTAATTGTTACACAAGTTAAACATTGTAATCGTTCCAGAAAATAAAATATTGTAATTGTAACAGAAAAATGAAGTACTGTAATCGTTCCAGAAAATAAAATACTGTAATTGTAACAGAAAAATGAAATACTGTAATTGTAACAGAAAAAAAAAATACTGTTATTGCAACAGAAAAATAAAATACTGTAATAGTAACAGAAAAATAAAATACTGTTATTGTAACAGAAAAATAAAATACTGTAATTGTAACAGAAGATAAAATATTTTAACTGTAAGTGAAGTGAATTAATTTTGTAATTGCAACAGAGAATAGAATACTGTAATTGTTACAGAAAATAAAGTCAGTAATTGTAACAGGAATGAATACAGTAATTGTAACAAATAGAACATTTTAATTGTAACAGTACATGAATTTTGTAATTGCAACAGAAAATAGAATAATGTAGTTGTAATAAGAAAAGAAAAATCTGATATTATAAACAGTTATTTTAACAGTATATAAACTACTATAATTGTATTGTAACAGTTAATGAACTTTGTAATTGTAACAGTAAATTAACTTTGTAATTGTAACAGAAAATAAGATATTGTTATACATGTATATAATAACCAATGTTGTAGTTGTAATTTTAGCGGAAAATAAAAGCTGTAATTGTTATAATTTTTAAATGGCATAATAGTGTTCTTATTTACAATTTGAACAGAAAATAACCACTGTTATTGTACAGAAAATAAACCCTGCAACACTGAAGCAATATGTACTTAAATGTGAACAAAAAATAGCAAAAGTTTGATTTGTACTGAATTCAAAACAATAAATTGACTTTGACGTAAAAGTTCAAAATACCAAAATAGCCTTAGAAAAATAATTCTTGTAATAATTGTAACAGAAAATATCTTTTCAAAACTACGCGCCTGATCTAGTAACCAGAGTCATTTTTAATTCAATTGTAATTCTATAGAGATAGATATGCTTAATTTTGTCTTACCTGAAGGTTCGTCATGTGATTTGGATTTTTCCTTGGTGATATTATTATTATTATTGTTATTAGATGTGTTATTGTTGGTGGGGCTGCTAACTTCGGATTTCGTTGAACTGTTGCTACTCTGATGTGAAGATGGTGCCTGCTTCATTCTTTCTACTTTTCTGAATTTCGCGCGTCGATTTTGAAACCAAACCTAAAATGTGAACAAATAAAACATGAATGCATTAAACAATTCCAAATAAGCATGTATTATAGGTTATGTGGACTCCTCGAATGGATGCCTGGGTGAAAATCCCAGTTTCGAAGTCGCATCAGCCTCAAAATGGCAAAATTAAAAAAAAAAGTTGAAAACGTAAGTTCATATCTCATGCGTTTATTATGAGATCCATCGACAATGGAGTAGATATGTTAAATAAGATCGGTTTCTGACCTTTATGTTTTAACAAAAACTAATTATTCAAAACGATTATACTAACGAATATTCATTATATGTTCTAGAAAATAATGTCATATCATATATGAGTAGAAATATGTCAAGATGTTCGACGCCATATATGACATTTAAAGTATCGAGTAATTGAAGACGCCGGTTTCCACTTTTTGATTTGATCCACGCCAATATAATTACTAGTTTGACCCCAATCTGTTCCTCATATCAAACAAGGAAATTATATGTTTCGGAAATGTGTAGAAAAAGATCTGTAATTTTGATTTTTCTAAAATCGCCAAGACATAAACCACTATACATGTCTACTTATATTCCAACCTTGAATCATTGAATGACTCAGCCTCCATATCACCGCATCTTCCGTTGATATGATTGATATAGAGCTGATATTAAATTTATATTGGTTGGTATTTATTTTTCATCTTATCAACGCGTTGAAGTAAGATGAGAAGAGAAAAATACGCATGGTTGGTTTCATGAAAATCCTCATTAAGTCATCAAGCATCCAAAATGTGAGTCAAAACTACATTTTCTTTATACTACTCCATGGGAGACTTAAAGTTTCCGAGTTGATGTGATACAAGAGTTGCTATTGAATATGAGTATTTTCGGCCAACAACGTTTATGAGTTATTGCCCTTGTACAATCATAATATAGTGTCGTACCTGTACTCGTGCTTCAGTCAAATCTGTTTTCATGGCGATTTCTTCCCGTGTGTAGATATCGGGATAGTGGGTTTCTGCAAAAGCTCTTTCGAGTTCCTTGAGTTGAGCACTGGTGAATGTTGTTCGGATTCTTCTCTGTTTTCGTTTCTCGGGACTGACGCTTGAATCGTGTGCGTGTTGGTACATCTTGTACGGAAGCCCTGAAAGAGAATAAGAATAATTTAGATATGTAAAGAAGGTTTTCATGAAATACTGTTTATCTTTGTGGTGTATGGAGATCGAAAATACAAAAGTCATACGCCGTAGAATTCGATTGTTGTATTGTTCTGCCCCTCTTTTTTATTGTGTTTTCTGACCAAAACAAAACCAGGAAAATATACTAAATTTATTTATTTAAAATTCAATCTCTATTATTAAATATAATTGAGGGCCTCAGTCAATTGAACGATTGCGTGGGTATTTTCGGATGTTATTGCTTGGTTTTTCCTTGTCGGTGATTCAGGTCGGGGAATTATGGAAAGGTGTTATTTGTATGGGAGCAAAATATGCCTTTGCAAATTGCGTGGCGTTGTCCGTATTCATAAGCGCATCATGTACAGAATAGTAGATCGTAAAATTCTGTTTCATTTATCATGATTATTCTTCATTATTATTTTGGTATTTTTTAGTTTGGGGTTCCACTTGTGGTTAAAAGAAAAAGTTTATTGTTGGTGATATGGCTAAGAAATAAATCTAAGAACACAATCTCCTTCAATAATTTCACTCCATAAATACCACGTTGTAATAAAACTTCTCCCAATTGACTTCAAATTCAATTTTTGCCCCAGTTTTCTAGCTTGATTATATTAGTCCGTTTTTATTGAATTTGGTTCGCTCATCACGTGTGTATGACATCATTTAACGTGTAGTTTAAACCAGACATTACTATTCATTTCCACAAATTTTCTAGTTATCACATATTTTATTACTTGATATAATTCATTTTACTCTTGAGATACAAGAAGAAAACAATGGAAGGAAAATTTAATGATAGCGGTGCAAAACTAAAGTTGTTCTGTATGGGGAGAGGCAGAAGAGAACAATTGAAATCACGTGTGGAAGTTTGGGAAAGAGGGAGGAAAAGAAGACAGATACCTTTTTCACAGGGACAATAGTTTAAATGAATGTAGTTTTACGTCCTACTATTCTTCACGCAACTGGCTAATAAAGACGGAGCACCAGAGTTAAGTTGAGGTAGGGGTGTGGTGTAAATCCATGAGCTATTAAGAAAGGGGAAAGATCGCTCAGAAAATATTGGCGTCTTCTGAATTTTTTTTTCTCTGTTGTAGATATAAGGATACAACAGCAGAGGAGGACAAACAGCTTATTTCCCTTATTTTTGAATAAATTTAGGTATGGCTTCTAAGATCATTACCTCCAGCTTATTTTATACAACTGTGTACAAACAGCGTATATAAATAATAATGGTAAAATAAGATTTACTGGCCAGAGTTATTATTCAGCTATTTCTTTTAATTTCTTTGTAGACAGAATTTTTTTGAATTTTCAAGTGGCATCAGAGGTAAAGTTATAAAACATATATATATCTTCATCATCTATATATCTTCATTTGATTGTTCGAGTCTTTGAGGGAGGGAAAGAACAAGCCTGTTCTCAATCTACATGCACAATATTGCTTATACAAAAAATCGATTAGATTTTTCGAGCTGCATCCTTTCTAGTCCTACACAGTGACATAATACACATATTTATTCTATACATTTCAAATTACTTCAACTTTAAAATGTCTTCAAAACCCACGAGCTTTGTTGACGGTTGTAAAATTAAAATTTGATTGAGGTAAATGTTTTCTTATGTGAAAATAGAAGCATGAAAAAAGAAATTTCACTACTCTCTGTCGCCGTATAAGTGTGAAACAGCAGTAGCAGAAAATCTATCTAAATATCTTTCCTCCATTTTTAAAAATACGGCATCTGCTTTGGCACACTTGGGTGTTGGCGATTCGACAAAGTCCTCACCTTGCTGGCCCCCAAGGAGCTTAGTGTGCACAAATCTAACGAGATATTCGACTCATGGCAAGAACTGGCAGTATTTCTAACGTTCCCATCGGAAAATAAGGTGCTAGGAATTCCAACTTGTGAAATGGTGTGCTCACAATTTAATAATTAATGCAGAATCCATTTACAAGCTCGACATTTGCCGGTGATGATGGTGTGAATTCGGAGAGAGATTTTTTAAAACTAATGTAACACCTCCTGCGACCTGTTTTTATTACATTATTTCTTTCAATATCAATCGACTTTCATACCGTTTCCAAGATAACTGGCTTCAGTAATATCAGAAAAAACAAACCATTAAAAATAGAGGCTATAAAACAAGTTATTTTGGCGGAAAAGCGATTTTAAATGCTTCAAAACAATTGAAATATATAGAAAACTGATAAGTATATAGAAAGTATATAGATATTTTTATATAGCATTGTTAAATTTCTATACAAACAATTGAAAACTGATAGGGAAATGTATATATATTTATATTTATATATTGATAATGCAGATTGAAAGTTTAATTTGATTTTTATATATATATTTGAAATACAGCGCATTATTTTTAAAAGCTTTGCTGTGGAAATTAATTTATAAGGATAATTTGAAAGAATGTGCATTTCTAAATGAATTTGTTTTTTCCATTATACTTGCGTTTGAGTAGTTTTAAGTACAAGTAGATGATTAAGTACAAGTAGATGAGTTAAAAAGTATGATCTGAAAAAGGTGGTGATTACGTTCTATAGTGATTGCGATGAGTCTTGTGCGTACCCATCTTATAGTACACAGGGCCTCGGTTTATGCTCCATCCTGACGACTAGACGATTTTTGATACCTGCATCGCAGGCGGATGGAAACAATTTTATAACGAGGATAAGTAACATTTTCAAATATGAAGACTCTCCGAAAGTTGATAAATTATACGTTCAAAGTATATCGAGTGATTTTGGAAATTTTTGAATGTTTTCTATTTTTACCATTTTTCACTTCATATATTACCCTCTCACTCCCCCTTTATTACAATCAATTGTAATAGATTTGAAAATCATTTAACCTAAAAATATGGCTGCAATTATCGTTCAATCCAGACAATGCAATATTCAAATTATTGTTCAGCTAAAAACTGGGTATTTATTTACTGGTCTGTTATTCAATAAATTATGGCTGCGAACCATGTTTTCGTTTATTTGCTTCTGGTAAAAGAGAAACATAAAGTGATCATTCGACCTCTGTGAAATTAGATAAGGCAGGGCCATGTGGTTTATTTCAAACCACCGCTCGATACAAACACTGGCCTCTGTATAGATCGAGGTTAAAAATACCGATGAATATGAATGGTGGATTTTATTTAGCGATGTTAATAGAATATAGAACATATAATAAAATTAGGACGGCCAAACAATATGTATTCAGTTACCAAATGAAACGAAATAGATTTGAAATAGAATATAACACATTTAATGAAATTAGGACAGTCGAACAATATGTATTAAGTTGCCAAATGAAACGCAAAAGATTGGAGATGTGTTCTAGGTGAATAAAATGAAAGGATTTGAAAGACGAAAAAAAATAATGATAAAATTACATGAAAAACAAAACAACGATAAAAACTGAAATATAAAAGGCAAAGAAAATATATTGATTTAATGAAATGATTAAAATATAATAGAGTAATGATATAACTAGCAAAATATATTAATCCAGTGAAATGGAATAATCGACAAGACTAACAATTTGTTCGCTTAAAAAGTTTTCTGCATGGTGACCTGCTTCTGCGATAGTAGCAACGTCGATCTCAACGAGATTTGAATCATTCAGAACTGAATATTATGTAGATTTTTTTTTGAATATGGCAAATGGATTCTTAAACTGAATCGAATGGAAATAATATGATGGCATATATAACGCAAATGAAATAAATGATGAAAGCATACGAAAATAATGTCATCGACGTATACCAAAGCAAATTAAATCGAATGGGACAAAATACATTATGGTTACATGGTATAATAGCGTTACACAATTTGAAATATTGCTTGTAGAAATAATAGAAAATAGATATAGGAAAACATTTGAATATAAGGGTCGATCAAAATATAAAAATTTGTAAGATAGCTGCTAACGTATCAAAGAAGAACTGTAATTAATTGAAATTTATTCAAAGCTATTATACCAAGTAGAATATCATATGAGAATATCATTGTTTCTTTATGTCAAACGACTACATTGTTCTAGAATTATTATTGTCCTCTTCAAGTGGATAATAATACCATTTGAAGGACTATAGCAATTTTAAATCAATTATTAGGATCAGTATCAATGCCATCTCAAGCACTGTACCAGTTAGATGGTTCATTAATCTCAAGAGCTACAAAATAAAATCGCATATTTACATCTGTTCTTGGATTTTGCTTTAAAAAAACTTCATATTCCATATTACTTATACTTAAGTTTATACTGTGAACTGCATTTTTCTATGATTTTGATTTGCACTACTTAGTTTTGCCGAGCCCCCATTTTCCCCAACGCTCGATAATTTCCTCCGACGCTGAACTGCTATACTTATATTCATTCTTTCAAATACAGTTCTGTTAAAGATTACATACTTTTCTGGGCCGCCACCTTTTCCAACGCTTGGAAAAGTACTTCGACGTATAATGTACTATACAATAATGTGTCGAATTTCATTGTTTAAGTTTATTCTTATTAACAATTTTTCCATGTCCCCACCTTGCCCAAACGCTTGGAAATTTACGCCGACGTGGAGAAAGAAGAGATATATGGATTTTAGCGGGTTATATTTACCAGAGTATATTAGAATATAAAATATTGATTAACGCTAGTATTAATCAATTATTTCATTGGCTAGGAAATGTGAAAAATATTCCCGAATCGTTCTAAAATCATCATCAACCTTCTACTCATCATTCTGGCTGATTTTAATAAAACTCTCCAGGGAGCACCAGATCGAGATATTCATCTAAATCAAACCAAGTATTTTGCTTTTATAAATGGCTGTCAGCTGAGTTAACACGAAGTCGTTCTCGCTAGTAAATTGAACCACAGACGTTCGCTAGCATAAAAATACAATATTTCATCGTCATCTCCCTGGCGGATTATAGGTAATTCAGTTAAGAGAAGACTTAAAATCACAGAGAAGCA